GCATATTCAAGTAAGAAACTGAACTACGTTTTCTATTCTTCTTTTCATATTATTAGTCTTGTTAAGTTCCAAAAAGAAAGAGAATACACTGTATTGTTTCTGCCCTTTCAAGAAGACCCTTAGCTTAGTGCAAAAAAGAAACAATGTGTTTATTCTATACCAGAGGTGCTCAACTTGCAGCCTGCGAAGCCATGACATTTGCCCCTCAGGTCTTCCCAGTGGCCCGTAAATTTGGTGGCAGTGGAGCACTGGCAATTAATACTGCCATGCCACCAATCCCCCATTACCAAATTTTCAAAACCTATGGTCAGATGACACGGCCCCATGTGCTGGATCAGGCCCATAGACCAATGCTGTGCAGTTGATCTGGCCTGCACTACTCATCTGACCCACCGCCTAGATCTGCAGGGGTTGGCAGGCTGCAGCTGTGGGCTGGAGACAAGGCTGCACCAGCCTCTTCTCAGTGGGAGCTAAGAGGGGGCTGTAGCCACCTCAGATTTCACCATAGCCCCACTCCCAGCACTGCCATGCACCCAGCACAGCCCTGGCTCTGCCCAGCACATGAGTGGAGGTGAGGTGTTGAACTGGAGCTGTACCAGGCACGTGGCAATGGTGAAATATGGGGTGGCTGCAAACCCCTCTGTAGTCCCTGCCCTGAGCCCACTCCTCACCGAGAAGAGCCTGGCACAGCACCAGCTGCACCCTGCAGCTGCAGCTTGCCTGCCCTCTCCCACACAGATCCAGGGGCACCACCTCCCATGCCCTGCCAGACTGCAAGCAGCAGCAGGAGCCCCTCCCCAACCCTAACCCTAATCCCCCCTGCCCCCCAGGCAGTGCCTGCCCCTAGCTCACTGAGGGGGGTGTTGCTCTGCCCCCCCCATGCCCCTTCCCTCCTCCCTCCCCAACAAACTTACCAGCTGCACACAGCTCTACTCCTCACTACCCAAGTGTTGCACTGCAGCTGTGTGCATGCATTTATCGGCTAAATTATAGGCCACATTGGGCCAATATCCGATACAGCCAATTTCCTTTATATCAGTACCAATCCAATATCAGACCAATGTAGCAGCGCACCTCTAAATGGAACCCAAAATTCCCTCGAGCCTCACTATTCCTTTGATGTCAGCAAGTAGCTGTTATATATGTTAGCAAAGAATCCCAACCTCCTCTAAGGATGATCCACATAAGAGGATAAAACTTGCTAGTACTGCTAGCTAATACTCTTCCAGACCACTGCCATATGATAATAAGCCTTATCCTGGTGTAGCATATTAAAGCATCCTTTTTTTAAATTTGCTTTTTAAAAGCCTAAGAAACCACATATACACACTCCCACTCATGTTAAAAGAATATAAACAAAGAGAGGTAAAAGAACATTAGGGTAAAGTCAATGATTTAGTTAGAGAACACCAGAATTAAATTTGCCTGTGTAACCTAATTTAGCCTTCTTCAGCCCATGTATTATGATACCCATGTTTGATTTCAGGACCCCATGCTATTTTTCCAAAAGATACCTGCCTTATTTAGGGCACAAAATGGATCGTTTCTGGGCATGAATTAGGACTGCATGGTGAAGACGACTGCTGTCCATAGGACCCATTTACACTGGTTGCAGAAACCAGAGAGCGTGCTGAATGAAGGACAATACCAAAATATGAATCCCCTTGTTTGGGACCTTGAAGGAGGCTTTTCAGGGGCAGAAGGGTGGCTGTCACAGGAACCAAAACACTTCTGTTACAATAGTGTCAAATATTTTCTGACTTGCTGGAATACCTATGATGTGGGCCAGCAAACGGTCACTCTACACAAAATTGTTTTATTTTCATAGAATCGTAGAAGTAGGGTCGGAAGGGACCTTGTAGATCTTCAAGTCCAACCCCCTGCCTGGGCGGGAGAAAAGACTGGACTCAAATGAGTCCAGCCAGGCAGGCATCAAGCCTCTTCTTAAAGACCCCCAGGGTAGGAGCCAGCACCACTTCCCTAGGAAGTTGG